AATATATACAGTATATAGTGTGTAACGAAAATAATTACGGTTCATGCACGACACAAAATTATTTTGCATAACAAACAATAAAATGAGTTGTTTATCATGATTTGCATATCCTTAACAGCTTTTTTGTCTTTCATTGAAGACATTTATGAAATAAAGGCTTCGTCTACTTCTACTTTCTATGTTATCAGTCCAATCAAAGGACCGGACTGATACCGCGGTCCAGACTTAGGTTTTCTATTAGAATAAAACAAATGAAACGAAACAAATAAAACGAATGGAACACGAATGGAACAAATGAAACAAATAAAATGAATAAACAAATGACTTGAATAAAACAGATAAAACAAATAAAACAAAAACAAATAGAACAGATAAAATAAATAAAACAGATAAAACAAATAAACAGAACAGGACAATGAATGAAATTTGATCTATAAAAACTGTATATATTCTTTTTTTTTTTGAATATATTAATAATAAAATAATATTAACAAAAAAAATTGAAATAAATGCTTTTATGATAAAAAAAACTTCAACAGTCCAAACGTCTTTGATACCTAAGACCAGACCAACTCTAACTGTGGTCCATTCAGTCTGGTCTGGACTGTTAACATTCTTAAGTACTATTGAACATAAGCAGGATAATGGCTGTCTGATCCAATACTTTTTTTCAAAAATTAATCAGATTTCTTTTATTTTAATTGACAAAGTTCTAAAAAATATAGAAACATGTAATTTTATATGCAAAATCTTCAAAACTTGTATAATTATTATATAAAATTTTGTGTTAGAATAATTATTAAAAAATTTCATAGTGTGAATTAGCTTTACGAAAAATTGGCAATGTAAAATTTTTTTATTTCAAATGAATCTAAACTTATTCAAATATTCTTTGTAATCATGTGAACCCATCTTCACCTATCTTTCAATATTTGTTGAGATGTGTGATTTTTTGTCACTGCCATTATTTTGATCAACCATATAGATGGTTATTGCATGATCAACATCAAATATTTATATATAGAAAGGGAAAGAATAAAAAAAAATAATAAGAATATGTCAAGACATTTAATTAATAGTAATAGTAACTAGTAGTAATAATAGCAATATAGAAAATAAAAATAAATCCATCCTTTTTTTTATAACTACTAGTATGAGTAAAAAAAAGAAGTAACTATATATACAAAATTAAGAGAACATCCAAATGTATTTAGGGTAGATAATGGGATTTAATGAATCTTTAGGGAACCTTAAATTTTTTGAAAGAATCCCTAAAGGTTTACAAAACCAAGGATCCTTAAGCTCAAAAGTTTCCTGATGAAATTACTTAAAATGCTGTTACATGAATTGAATCACTTTTCAAAAAAATATTAACATTAAAATGTAACAATATCACAGATGGTGCCTACTCTTTGTGAAAGTTTTTTGTTTTAAATGTTTAATTGCTAATACTAATAGTAAATATTTTTCGAAAAAGCGATTCAATAACATTTCAAGTAAATAATTTAAAACAGGGATAAAAATATTTAGAATGATATCACCCTCATTTTAAATGTAGACTTTTGTCATGAGCTATGTGCAAAAAAATGTCACAGTATCATTTATGTTAGCTTTTTTCCTAATACAATTCTTTGGATTTGAATTTAATATTTTTTCACACATTACTTCAAATAATGTTTTATTTTATCTTGGAGTAAGAATATTCTATCAGATTCAGATATAGACTTATTATGAATAAGTGAAGAGCATCAACAATTATATGATTTTTGATTTTTTTAATTCTTAGATAAAAATACATTGACAATATTATAAAAATCTAACTATTATTTTTTCAATGGTCACATATCTTATATGGACAAAGCTTTTAATTTTTGATATGCTAAAATGGGTAAAGGGTAAAAAATGCTACATGCTTAAAAGGGTAAAAAATTTCAATTATAATAATCTGGGTCCTCCCACAATACAGCCACTCATTGGTTCGAAACCAATGAGTGGTCCTGGAACTGGTGTAGTAGTATAACACCAATGTAGTATAGTTTTTTTTTTTAATGACTAGATAGATGATTAGATGTAACTTTACAATAAAATTCTTGATAAATATATACAATATTGGATATTTAAAAAAAACTTGAACTTTATCAAAAATATTATTAATAATGATGACAAAGAAAGAGTCATCAACAAGAAAAAATGTCAGAGATTCCTTACATTATTTGGGAAGTTTATCATTATAGCTACTAAGAAGGTTGTTTGCCGAAACTCTGCTGATTGATTTCTGGAGGAATATTGGCAAGCAACCAGAGCTACTAATATCATTGTTCCTAAGCATTGATGCAATAAATATGCGAGAACAAAAAATTTGGCCATCCTTTCCAACTTCACTGCAAGTTGATCAACAGGATGAGAATGCTTGCAAATTTGGGTGGAAAAATATGATTTGCTGATTGAATCCATAACAGCAGAGTTGGCACTCTCCCATTGGACATATCAATGAACATAAATTTGTAAAAATAACATAATGAAAATATTTTATTTTTATTATCTAGAGTTTTTCATAAGGTAGTGTTGGGAAGTTACTTAAATTCTATTTTGCGGGATGAACATTATTAGCAAAGGATTGATCAACATCAACATCAACATCTAAAAAAATTCTCTTCATTTAAGATTGTTTAATTTAGAATAATTTCACATTGATCGCAATATTCAGACCTAAAATGTGTACAATTTCTAAGATGTCTCTTTTGTATTAGTAAACTTATCAACAATTGAATTTTCATATTTTTACATGGACGGCAAATTGCAAATTTGTTTTAAATGAACAGGCAAACAAGTCAAATAATTATGTATTTGCTTTGGTCCAATGATCGGTATGCATAATTACGTACCATACTGAAGAAAAGAAAAAAAAAGTAAAAAGTGCGTACCGTACGGGGTGCTGAGTTGAATTTAGAATTTTTTTCTAGCATGGTACTCTCTTGCTACGTATTTTCTATATATCCCAATGAGTTGTTGGACATTGTCCATTGCCAACTCTAACAACGGAAACAAGCAGAAAGCACAAGTTATTTAACAGTATACAAAAGGTCTCTTCAAATATTAGCGATATAACTATAGTATTTATCCTATTAACTTGCGAATGGATACTCTAAGTTTGTTCTGATTTACACTCTTATCAACCACAAGAGATATCGAGGTCATTTTTCTTTTACAATATGGTTCATTATTGCATTAAGGATTATGTTTTTCTTAACCTAAAGTTTTATTAAATCATTCTTCATATCCACTACGTCTTGTCATAAGTAGAACTTGTAATGACAGCAATAAAAACAATAATAACATTTCAGAAAAATTTTTTTTTAATTAAATTATTTAAATATTGAAATTAACAAAATCAGAGGATGTTTAAATGGCGAAGAAATCAAAAATATTCCAACAACTCTCGATTTATTTATATTTATAAAATCATTCTAATATTATTTGAACGGTGGCGATTATGATAGATTTAGGTAAGCCAAAATCAATTAGATCTTATCCGGCGTGATTATTTGAACAAACTTATGGATGATTCGGTAGCTGACCGTGTTGATAGAATGCGTTTGGGTGATTGTAAAAATGAATTGAAAAGCATTATTACAAGAAGAGACGAATTAATTAATTAATTATATAATAATCAATGCTAATTTTTGTCAAATTGGAAAGATAAATATTTATTAATTTATTGTTATTAAAGTTGTTGCTGGTGTTGGGACATATTTAATTTTCTTAAAAATTATTATGAATGTAATTATTTTCTAGAAATTCAATTTTAACCCATCATCATTGGGCTATCAATCTTGTAATGCTGTCACTGGTGAAAATCTTTTTTCTGGAATGGATTGGATTTTTGGAGATATAACATCACGTATTTATCTTCTTGACTAATAATCATGATGGTGATAATAATGATAATGATTATGAAGGGCGAAGAAGATGTTGGTGATTCAATTCAATTCTATTCTAATGCAATTCTATTCTACGGTGTAATTCATTCAATTAATGCATTATGATATTTGGAAATGTTCTATTTTTGTCTCTTCGGATGTCAGAACTTTGTACGTTTACTGGTTCTCTATCATTTATATGATAGACTCATAATCTACAAAAGCAATTAAATAATAATTAAAGCATAATCAGAATTTGATGGATAATAAAATTTTTTACATTAGTACAAGATATTCAATAAAAAAAATGATTAAAATAAATTTTCTCTCCATGCATTACTAATATATTTGATGCTGATATGTCAGAATATAATTTCTTTTTATGCGTGAAAGAGTATGTGAGACCAATAAATAAATTTGAAATTAAAATAAAATAATAATAATCAGAAAATTGTCCAAAATAAAATATTTGCTTGACTAAGAGACATTCTTTATTATTGATTATAATGGTTTTCATTTATGTCAAGTATCAGCGTATATTTGCACATGTTGCTTAAAACCTGTTGTAAAAGCCATCATCTATTCTGACTCAACAAAAAAAATAAGATAGAAGTTGAGGAATATTCGTTGCAGCTAAATTTTTGATTTTTTACACTTTAGCCAGGGTTATAAATTATATGGGTTTAAAACATTAAACTTTGCCTATTAAAGCATAGTAAAAATTTAAATAAAACCTTAAATTCATAAATTTCATTGGTCAAACCACCTTCACGTGATATATCTTTCTACCAAATGTTCCATGTAGAAAATTACAACGACAAAGATTAACCAATTAGGATTGTGATTTAACAATTTTAGAGTTCGTATAACATTTCACAACTCTCAGCAAACGTAATACTTTTTTACAATCTTTTTTTCTTTGCATTATTGATAGAATCCAATTACAAAAAGTGTCATTAATTTCTTTCAATTTTTCTATTATTACTCGATTAAAAAAAATTTTTTTAGGTATTTATATAAGAGCTTTTTTTTTTTTTTTAATTTTTAAAATTTATAATTAAAATTTTAATAACTATAAATTTACTCAATTTTAATTTCTTCTACAATTTCATTATTATTATTGCTAATAATAGGATGCAAATAATCCTCAGGATTTAGATGAAGAACTTTACATAATAATTCAACAATGTCTTTTCTACATTTAGCTAAATCTAAAGGCATTCTATTCTCAATATTTTTCTCACAAGGTTTAGCATTATTTAATAAAAGAACTTCCACAACATCAGTATGACCATTCTTGACTGCATCATGAAGTGGTGTATTGAATTTTCTATCAGTGGCATTTATATTTGCACCCATTGCAACCAATATATTCACAATTTCATAATGACCTTCATATGCAGACTCATGCAATGGTGTACGTCCATTATTATCAGTAATATTGACTTTAGCTCCTGCTTCAATCAAATTTCCTATCATTTCCATGTTACCTTTCTTGGCATGAATATGAAGTTGACCTCTACCAGATAAATCTCTACTTTTAAGATCCATTCTTAAAATATCATTATTAGAAAATTTGGAACTTACATTTCTACTTTTATTTTTCTTGATAATACCATAGTTGTTGATAACAATGTTATTTCTAGTAACACTGTTAGAGTTTGGAATTGGTGATTTCTTTTGAATAGATTTCTGACTTTCTGATATATTAACTAAATTTTTTTTATTTGCAAAACCTTTTGGTTTGGGTTTAGAAATGTCATTTGTTTCCAAAATTATAGGCCTTTTAATTTGAACATCATCTAAATATCAAAGTTTAAAATAATAATAACCAATATTAATATTTAATATAATTTAATTAATATACATGTAAATATCTATATATTACCTCCACTTTCTTCCCCATCACCATCCATATTCACATCCCCATCCACATTTTCATTTCCATTTCCATTTTCATTACCACCTCCAATTGTACCACTACTTTTTAATAATAATGTATTTAATGGCCTTTTATTTGAATATACAAGGTTTGACTTTTTAACAGGTGTTTTAACAGCTTCCACAGGTGTCCCCAATAATTTAATAATTTTACTATTGTTTGTGTAGTCCCCAGGTTTTTTTTCATGAACATTAGTTTTTTCAGGGTCAGCTCCATACTCTAACAACGCTCTAATAATATCTTCATGACCTTCAGCACATGCATCATGAAGTGGGGTGTCCAATTCATTATATGAAATAGCATTAACTTCTGATCCATTTTCTAACAGAAAATATACAATGTCTAAATATCCATGATATGCAGCTTCATGAAGTGAAGTCCACCCTGCATTATCACATGCATTAATGTCAGATCCTTTATCTATCAAATATTTAACTCTATCTAATTTACCTTCTTGACATGCTCTGTTTAAATTTGTTTGACCAGCTCTATCTCTAGCAAAAATATCATTCTTATCTATTTCATTTACTTTATAAATAAATTTCCGCCTATTATTACTATTAGAAATGTTGTATGTACTTTGATGTCTTAAAGATTTATTTATTGCAAGTTGTTTATTGGGTGATCTAGTCAATCTTTTAGTTTTTGTCACTTTATCTTTGTTGTCACTTTTCATTTTCTTTTGTTTTACATCATTGTCGTTGTTGTCAATATTAGACTTTGATATTAATTGTCTTTTTGAAGGTGGTAATGAAAATGGAAATGGAAATGAAAATGTGGATGGGGATGTGAATATG